ACCATATACCACAATAAGTTCCAAATAGATACATGACCTAGATATAAAAGGTCTATCATAAACAAATTAGAAGAGCATACAGGAAGATCCTTTTTACAACAATGGATAAGGGGAAGAATTCATGACTAGACAAGGGATGGAGAGGATTACAGAAGATAAGAAAGGACAAATCTGATAGCATAAAATTGAAAACATTTTTGCACAAACAAAATCAATGAAATTAAAATGAGAACAGAAACAGTTAACTGGAGAAAATTTTTTTACATAAAGTTTCTCCAAAAACAATGTGATATCTAAGATAGAGGGCAGCTAGGTAGTGCAGTGGATAGAACACCACACCTAGAGTTAGGAAGATTCTTCTTCCCGAGTTCAAATCTGGCCTCAGATATTTACTAGCTGTCTGACTCTGAGTGAGCCACTTAACCCTGTTTGCCTCAGTTTCCTCATCTGTAAAATGAGCTGGAGAAGGAGATGGCAAACTGGACCAGCATCTCTGCCAAGAAAACCCCAAATGGGGTCACAAAGAGTCGGATAGGACTGAAAATGGCTCAACAACAATATCTAAGATAGAACTGATTAAAATATATAAATATATATGAATAAAATATAAATAAAACAAACCCCTTATAAATAAATAAAAATATATAACTATATAAATAAAATATATAAATATATTCCCCCAGTAAATGGTCAAAGGATATGAACAGGCAATCAGTTTCCAAAGGAAGATATCTATATAATCAACAATCATCGGGAGAAAAAATGCTCCAAATCACTAATAATCAAAGAGATTCACATTAAAAACATTCTGATATTATACCTTATATTTATCAGATTGGCTAAGATGACAGAAGAGGTAAATGACAATTGCTGGAAGGACTTCGAGAAGACTGACACATTAGTGAATTATTAGTGGCCCAGCCATTCTGGTAACTAACTATTTGCAAGTACGCTCAAAGAGCTACTAAACTCTGACTTAGTGATATACTAAGCCTACAACTCAGAGATCAAAAAAGAGGGAAAAGATCCACATATACAAAAATATTTGTGCCAGCTCTTTTTGCTATAGCAAAACACACACACACACACACACACACACACACAACTGGAACTAAAAGGGATGCCCATTCATTGAAGAATAGCTAACCAAATTATGGTATATGGCTGTAGTGGAATATTACTGAGCCATGAGAAATGGCAAAAGGGAAAGTTTTAGAGAAACCTGATACAGAGTGAAGTAAACACAACCAAGAGAACCTATTTATACAATAACAACATTGTAATAATGAACAACTTTGAAAGACCTGAGAGCTCAATCAATATGATGACCAACCAGGACTCCAGAGGGTTGATGATAGAACATACTACCCATCTCCTGCTGGAGTGCTGGATTCATGATATGAGACATGTATCTTTGGGAACAGCAAATGAGAGAATTTGTTTTTCTTTATCATTTGTTACAAAGGTTGTGTTTTTTTTTTCCCCTGGGTGGGATGGGGAGAGATTTGGAGGAAGAAGGAACCTGCCAATAGTTTCGACAAAAAAGAAAAGAAGGGTCTATGAAGCATTTTTTAAACTGCCCAGAAAAAAAAAGAAAGAAGTTCAGAAGGAAACTGAAACAGGACAGCTTTGAAAATAATGTGCTAAATTAATTAGAGACTTAAAAAAAAAGCGGGCTATACATAATAAAATCATGATTTCATATTTAATAGTCCTTTTCTGTTCTATTTTGTACATGGAAATGCTCTTTTTTTCGGGGGGGGCAATTGTCAAGTACAGAATAAAAATAAATTCTGACCAAGCACTTTAATGAGTAAGTAAAGAAAAATATTAAAGGAAAACATTTCAAGTCCATCACAGAAAACGTGCTGAGAAAAGGGGAGGCTCACCTATGTGGCAAAGAGTACAATGCTTTTGTAAATGAACTAGAGATTATCTTCCAGGAGAGGAACAGAAGACCCTGTAGACCATCTCTATCCAGTCACTGCTCTGGAGCCTCTGCTCCACTCTAAGAAAATTTTTGTTGATCAATGACATCATGAGGATGATATCATGAATTGCCCATGAATTGGATTTAAGTGAGGCAGGCAAAGTCATCAGCCTCATTTTCTCCTCCAGAGTCAATGACGTCCAGTGGCAAGACAAAAGTCAACATGACTGGCGATGGCCAGGGGTACAAATACAGGCTTGGGAAAGGTTAAGAGGTCACAAGAAAGCCCAGTTACTCCATACCCTCCTCAGACACAGTAAGCACTTTGCAAATCTTAAAGCACTATATAAATTCTAATCTTATTCATTGTGGTTTTTATTCCCATACCAGAAAAGGGCAACACACCTACTTACTGAAATAATCCTATGAGAAATCTTAGTGGAGCAGCTAGGTGGCACAGTGGATAGAGTACCGACCCTGGAATCAGGAGGACCTGAGTTCAAACGGGGCCTCAGACACATAACACTTACTAGCTGCATGACTCTGGGCAAGTCACTTAACCCCAATTGCCTCACCAAAAAAAAAAAATCTTAGCAAACATTATGAGTTATTCCCTGGGACCCAGGAAAAGTAAGCATGACACAAAGAAAAGTTATCAATGTATCATATTAAGTATAAAACAAAGAAAAACTTCCATAATTACTTTAGCAGATAAGTGGCAAGATTATATCCACTACCTTTCTTTTTTTTTCCCCATTACTGTTCTTAAAATAGGTAGGAATAATTTTCATTAACATAGCAAAGAGATCATATTTAAAACCAAGAATTAACATCATACTGCCTAGAAAAGTTCCCCCTTAAAAATAAGAACAAGGTCTCCTGCAACTAATACCTGCTGAATATAATAAAGAAATGTTGATCACCATTATCAGAAACGAAAAAGAAATGTTATGAATGTAGAAAGTAAGAAATAACTTTACATTATATAGATAACATTAATATAAGCTTACAAAATCCAAGAGAATAACTTAAAATGACAAATTCAAAATACATTCAGCATTCTCTGTCATTATAATGATTAAGTTTGGCTCCAGGAGGAAATAAGAAATTGCACCTCCTTCCCTTCTTTGCTGAATTGGGTGGGGGGGAGACTGTGAGTGTGGAACTTTGCACATGTCAGACTTATTTGATGTGTTGGGCTGGCACTGTTGAATTGCCTTATGTTTTATTCCTTGTTAGAACAGATAATGAGGGATGGAATATATTTGGAAATGAAGGTGATGTAAAAACAAAAGATATCACTTAAGAAAATTTTAATGAGCAGCAAGGTTGTAATAAATAATTAAAAATCAACTGTATTCCAATATACCAACAGCACCTAGATAGAAAATACAATAGAAAAAATAAATTAAATGATAGAAAATATTTGATATGTAGTTATTAAACCCAGTAATAAGTTATTTATGTAAATAAAAACATTAAATTCCATCAGGAGCACTAAAAGAAAGGATTATTAAATGGAGGACTTACTTTATTATGCCTGGGAAGACTAAATATTCACGGAGATTTAATGCAATATCAGCTTAAGTCCCTATGGGAAATTATAAAGAATATGAAAAACTGATAGTGAAAATTATCTAGAAGGAGTAAGAAAACTAAGAAATTTAAAAAGGAAATAATTATATCCTGCCCTACCAGACTTCTTAACCTTAAGAGTTGCTTAAAATTCTTCAGTGGTTCCTATTATCTCTAAGATTAAAAAAAACAAACTCATCAGCTTAGAATTTAAGACCCTTTGCAATCTGTCCCCAACTTACATTTCCAACCTTATTTCACTGTTTTTCCCTTTGCTATTGTGTGATGAGATCTCAATTCAATCAGCCAATCCACTGATGATACCTTTCAACTTTGTTCCTAGAATCTGACAAGTATGCCATCTCTGTTGCCATTTATGTTGGCATCGAGGTGGCACAGTGATAGAGGGCTGGGCTTGGAGTCTGGAAATCCTGAGTTCAAATAGTACCTCAGATATTTGCTTCCTCCCCGTATGACCCTGGGCGAGTCATTTAACCTGTCTGCCTCAGTTTCCTCAACTGCAAAACCGGGATAATAGCATCTACCTCATAGGGTTGCTGTAAGGAACAAAGGATATAATATATGAAGCACTTAGCACAGTGCCTGGTACATAGCAGATGCTTAATAAATGCATGTTTCTTCATCCTCCCTGCCCCCATGACTTCAAATCAATGAGAAAAACACTGAAGACTATTGGGTGGTATTCAACTAAGGACATCTCTATAGATTGAGATCAACCATAGAGAAGGCTTGTTTCTATACTTTATAACACATGCAATAAATTGCAGATGGGCCAAAGAAAAAGATTTTTTAAAAAATTCTCACTAAAAGGTAGAGGAAAAGAGAAATATTTAGCGTTTATGTTGCACCTTAAGTTTTGCAATGTACTTAGCCTGGGAGGTAAGTGCTGTTATTATTCCCATTTTGCAGATGGGGAAACTAAGGCAGGCAAAGGTTAAGTAATTTGCCCAGGGTCACACAGCTAGGAAGTGTCTCAGGCCACATATGAACTCAGGTCTTCCTGTTTCCAGTCCCAGTACTCTATCCACTGTACTACTTAGCTGCCTATTTTACCCCAGCTTAAGAAGGAAAGATAAATTCATGACTACTGAAAATATGAAGGATGTCAGATAAGGCATGTTTTAATGGATACTTCTTCAATACTTTGAAAGATTTGTGATCATGCTTATTCTTTAAATTAATGCACATCACAACTTCATTATAGCTTAGTAACCAGTTTCAGGATTTACTCTGGTCAAAAAATTCATCACTTAGTAACGTCTCTCTTTTTCTTTAAACTTGGCTAGGTTGGTGATGAGATGATGGATTCTTGGCCCATTTGCCAAGTCCATTCTATTAGCATTTCTAGCTTGCTAGAAGTTTCTTCCTATTGACAGGAAGATAAGGTCAGCTCCATGCCAGAATGACGTATTAGAGCTACACTTGAGTATTTTATTATATACAAAGAAAAACATGGAAAAAATGGGAAACATATATATGACCAAAAATACTAACGGTCTGTTGGTTTTGCTTAGCAGTTTGTTAAAAGGGATGTTTCAAGGCTAGTGTTGGGGGTGGAGTAGGAGGAATATGTTGGCAAATGAGTTTAATATAACAAAGCCCTAGTAGGCATCAATTTTTAAAAAATTGTCTTAAGAGGGCCAATGAAAAGTCCAGACATGTAAAAATATATTCCTGATGTCACCAATTCCATTTGCTAAGTGGTCAAAGGAGATCCCTTTCTTAGCAGAGAGGTGATGGGCTAGAGGTATTTAATGAGACATATAAATTAAGACATGGCAAATAGGAGGATTTGATTTGTGTGACTATGCTTATTTGCTCCAAAGAGAGAACTTTTATTTTGGTAGAGTAGTGGAATTGGGGGAAATGGCAAATTAGTGTTAGAGATACTATAAAAAGGAAGAAAAGAAAATAACATCAACGAATGATTAAAAAATAGAGAGAAGAAGAAGAAGAAAGAAGTTCAGAAGGCACCAGATAAGGAGGGCCATCTTGGATCTACCATATAAAATTTTTAAATATAGAAAAGCACACTATGTAGCTATTAAAAAAGACCAAAAAAAAAATGAAAACCATGAAGCCTAATATTAGTGACATATTGTTGAAAGCTGTTAACATTAGTTTAGTGTCAGCTCCTAGCATATAGTGTTTTACAAACAACAAGTGTATAATAAACATTTGCTGGACTGATTCCACTGGAAAATGTGTTCCAGGTTCTAAATAACTGACTTACAAATAGCTTTAATTTTAAAAAACCCAGTACCTAAGTTGAGGGTTTCCAAAGCCACATATAAATATTTTCTGACATTATCCTAAAGAGGAAGGCATCTCTGTATAGCCATTTCTTTTTGCCTATTACTTATCTATGGATATTTTAATAGCTCAGTGATTACTACTAGCCTTTTAAGTTGTGATACCCAGCAATTACTTTTTTGTGTGTGTGCAACAATCCTTCCTTTTCCTTAGATGAGTTCTTTATGATATGCTTGTCAAACAGTTATAATTCTTGGAGTCAGGAAAACCTGAGTTCAAATCTAGACTCAGATATTTATTAGCTGTGTGACCCTGGGGAAGTCACCTAAACTCTATCTGCTACAGTTTCCTCATCTCTAAAATGGGGATAATAGTATGTACTCCATAAGATTGTTGTGAGGATCAATCGAGATTATATTTGTAAAGCATTTAAAAATCCTTAAAGTGCTAGAATTATTATTTCTTCTTTAAAAATTAACATTAATTTTCCTTTGAGAATTTCTGAGATCCCTAGGGTATTTTTTTTTTTGGTGAGGCAATTGGGGTTAAGTGACTTGCCCAGGGTCACACAGCTAGTGAGTGTTATGTGTCTGAAGCCGAATTTGAACTCAGGTCCTCCTGACTACAGGGCCAGTGCTCTATCCACTGCACCACCGAGCTGCCCTCTAGGGTATTGTTAACAGTTGGGAATCGCTGAAGAAACATTACAATAAACTTTTGGAAATGCTCATTTTCTGCTATTTAATAACAGGGCAGATCCCCCTTAAAGAATGCCCGTTTCCATCCCTAGAATGCATTCTGATGCATCATGCTAAATGACATAATCACCAGCAGTCCTTGGGTAATTAAATAAAAAATTCTCCCATTTTTGGAAGTGTCTGTGGGACCTGTAATAAGATGTCACAAGGATAAAGGGCTGCAAACATATAAATCAATAATTTATTCTAGCATCTGATTCTTTCCCTCTACAACAACAACATGGTCCCCAGCTTTCAACAGGGAAAATCAAGAACCAGCATCAAAGTTTGTGTAAAAACTGGGGACATGGGCAGCTAAGTGGCACAATGGAATAGAGCATCGGCTCTGGAATCAGGAGGACGTGAGTTCAAATCCAGCCTCAGACACTTGACACTTATTAGCTACGTGGCCCTGGGCAAGTCACTAAACCCCACTGCCTAGCCAAAAAACAAAAACAAAAAACAAAACAAAACTGGAGACATTACACAAAAAATGCAGATGGCATCCCAATGAACAGAGCAAGAGTTAACAGGAGCATTGTACCTTGATTTGCTGTGTCAGGGTGGTAGTCTGACTCTTCTTCCGGAGGACTCTGTAAAAAGTAAATTTGCTCAGGGAGCATGCTGGCAATCTTCTCTTTTCCTATTCCCTGTGTGCTTAGAAGTGGACTAACGCTCCGTTTTACCTTCTCTCTTCTTTCATGTGCCATTATCTTTTTGGTCCGTGCCTTGATGTTTTCCCAACACTTCTTCAATTGTTTGAAATCTCGTAGTGACACGCTAGGTTGAGAATTGTACTCGTGGGCGAGAGCCTGCCAGGTCCTCTGTTTAAGTGCAATTGTCCTAGCATCACTTTTCTTACATTCAAGCACATATTTATACTTTTCCACTAATGCAAGCAAGATACTCTTTTCCAATTCAGAAAAGTATTTGGCAGGTTTTATAATTTCGTTGTTTTGCATTTTCTACTCTTTTTCTCCAGGCAGTAAGAATCCTGTAAAAGGAAGTTTTAAATAATAATTATATGTTCGACTAAATCTTCAACAAATTATTTTATCCTAATCACAAGTAAAGACCTAAATTTATTGTTTTTTTAAACAATTATTTTATTTATTTCATTAAATATAAAAATTTCTTAAACAATCTTTTTAAAAAATTTGACTTCCAAATTCTCTCCTTCTCACCTCCTTGAGAAGGCAAGCAATTTGATTATTGATTATATATGTAAGTCATGTAAAGGAGTCATGTAAAGCATATTTCCATATAATCCATATTGAAAAAAAACCCCACAAAATAAAACAATAAAAATAAATAAAGTTTTAAAAGTATGCTTCAATCTGCATTCTGAATTTGTCAGTTCCCTCTCTGGAGGTAGATAACATTTTTTTCATCATCAGTCCTTTAGAATTGTCTTGGGCCATTGCGTTGATAAGAGTAGCTGTCTTGCACAGTTGATCATCCTTACAATATTGTAAAGCCCTAAATTTAAATGTTTTCTTCTCTGCTAAAGCATCTATTAAATAAGAAAATGTATGATATCCTTAAATTTATCCATGTTCAAAATATATCTTTTTAATTAATAATAATAACACCTGGGGTTTTAAGGTTTACAAAGAATTTTACACATAACTCATTTTACATACATTTCTTTTCATGCACACAACACTATAAATGAGGTGCTAATTGACTTGCTATTAAGTGTCAACAGGAGAGATTTGAACATAGGTCTTAATGATTCCAAGCCCAGCAATCTGTCTTCTATACACTATATAACATCATACAACATCATCTTGCATTAGTCTTTATCTGATGAAAATTATTTCTCACATATTACAGCAAATCAAATCAAATCAGATTCTCTATAACCTTACTAAAGCACAACTTTTTTTAAAGAGAGATAGCTTGTTTTGTGTAATGAAAGACCACTGAATTGAGAATCCCAACACCTAGCTTCAAGTCCTAGCTCTTACGCTAGAACTCCAGTCAGAGAGGAGATGGGAGTTCCAAAGCTGCTCTAATGTGGAAGGATGATGAGTTTCCTGATGATGAGGTTTCTTGAGGACACGATGGAGTCAAGGAAAATAAGTAAACCTGACGGGACATGAAGAAATGGCTGTCCTAGGAGTCCTCCTTAAATAGAGGCTTTGGAAGGCCTTTTTTTAAAAAAAATTCTTGTCTTACAGCCATTCAGTCCTCCGATAGAAGGCCAGGGTGTAGTGAATGTACCAATAAGGTGGGAGGCTTCAGACACTTACTAGCTGTGTGACCCTGGGCAAGTCACTTAACTTTGTTTGCCTCAATTTTCTCATCTGTAAAATGAACTGCAGAAAGAAATGGCAAACCACTCTAGTGTCCCTGTCACGAAAACCCCAAAATGAGGTCATGAAGAGTCAGGCACAACTGAAACAATTAAATAACAACCACAACCAAAGCTGACATGTATCTGCATATCTATATTTATATCATCTGCATCTATACTTATATCTATAGCTATATACATACGAACATATGTGATATGTAACATATAAAACAGTATAATATATACCATTTATGACATCTATCTACTATAAAACATGAGCATATAACACATATTTAACATATATAACATATAACAAAATAGGTAAAACAGAATGTAGCATAGATAATGTTAGCCTAATTGATGACACTACCCGTGTGTAATAAGCAGCAGCGTGCATGTGTAATATGTCACTTATTATGTATGGGCCATATATACGCATAACCCATATATATGCAAATAATATATTTGGCAAGATGGCTGGCCTGGGAGCCCTCTTAAAATGCTGGCTTGGGAAGGAGCTCTTTGCCTTGCATTCAAGCACTTCAGCACTCCAGCATTCCAAGCAGAGGGCAACATAGTGTAATATTGACCTTTTCCTTTCTTTGGACTCTCTCTTCAGTCTATACTTATCAACCACTTGACTTGTCTTTTGCCACAGTGGCTATTCCAAATATTCTTGTTTTTTCTCAAACTCTCCATAGCAGCACCCTTCTCCTCCCATCTTCTCAGCTGAGGACCTCAGCTCATTCTATACACACACACACACACACACACACACACACACACACAGAGCTATTCACTGAGAGCTTCCTCTTCTACCTTCCTCCTTATCTCGAATAATTCAGCCATCTTTTCCCTCCCTCTATCTCCATCTTTACCCCTGAATCACCACTTCGACTTGCCAAGGCAAACTGTTCGATATGCACCCTTGATTCCATCTCTTCCAACAGATTTCCCCCTCCAGCATCTCCACTTTCTTTAATCTGTCTCTATCTACTGGCTCCTTTCCTTCTCCCTACAAACACTCCCATGTCTCCTCCATTCTTAAGAAACCCTAACTTCATCAAAACCATACTCAATAGCTATCATTCTGGGTCTCTCTTCCCCTTCTTGGCTAAACTCTTTGAGAAAGCTGCTTACATTCCCTGCCTCTATTTCCTCTTCTTCTACTCTCTTCTAAACCCCTTGCAATCTGGTTTCATCATTCAACAGAAACTGCTCTTTCCAAAGATACCAGTGATCTCTTAATTGCCAAGTCTAATGGCCTTTCCTCAGTCCTCAGCCTTGAACTGTGCAACATTTTGACACTGCTGGTCAGCGGCTACTCCTGGACACCCTCTTCTTTCTGGGTTTTCATGGCATTATTCTCACCTGGTCTTCTCTTACTGTCTGTCTGACTACTCCTTAGTCTTCTTTGTTGGATCACATCCAGGTCATGCTGACCAACCATGGTGTCCCCCAGTGCTCTGACCTAGGCCTTTTTCTCTTTTTGCCCTATATAATATTACTTGATGATCTCATCAGCTCCCATGAGTTCAATTATAAACTATGCAGATGATTCTTTTACCTATACTTACAGCCCTGTCTCTCTCCTGAGTTACAGTTCCATATCACCAACTGTCTTTTAATGTCTTAAACTGGATGTTCCATAGGTATCTCAAATTCGGCATGTCCAAAACAGAATTCATTATCTTTTCACCTTCCAAACTTCTCTATTACTGTCAAGAGAACCACTATCATCCCAAGTCATTGTCTCAAAATCTCTCTTGACTCCTTACTCTCATTCACTTGCTCCACATATCAAATCCATTGCCACATCCTTTTATTTCTACTTGCACAGCACCTCTTGTATACTCCCTCTCCTACAACCCTAATTCAGGACCTCATCACCTCACACCTGTAAAGGCCTTTTCACTGGCTTTCCTCCAGGTCTGGAATGTTCTCCCTTCTCATCTCCCACCTCTGGTTTCTTTCAAGTTCCAGCTAAAATCCCACCTTCTACTAGAAACCTTTCCTGATCCCCCCTGCCTTTAATTCTACTGCCTTCCCTCTATTTCCAGTTTATCCTGTGCTCATTTATGCACAATTGTACGTTGTCTCCCTTTTAAACAGTGAGCTCCTTGAGATCACGGACTGTCTTTTGCTTTATTTTGTATCTTCAGCCTAACTTAACATAGCACCTGGCATATAATAGGCACTTAATAAATGCCTTTTCATTTATTCATTCATTTTTCAGTGGAAGAAGTATCTCATGGATGAAATCACAGGGTCCTGAAGTACTGAAATATGGTACCAAAACAGGGTGGAGGTAGGAGGAAGTTTAACTACCTCCATATTTTAAAGTATTATAAAGCAACAACTATCAAAACTACCCAATTAAAAAACAGACCAGGGTCCGCTAGATGGCACAGCAGATAAGAGTACCAGCCCTGGAGATAGGAGGACCTGAGTACAAATCTGGCCTTAGACACATAACACTTACTAGCTGTGTGACCCTGGGTGAGTCACTTAACCCCACTGCCTCACAAAAAAAAATAGACCGGTGGAACAGAATAGGGATCCCAGAAGTAGAAACAAATAAATTAAAATTTTAATATCTGAGAAACTAATAAAAACAAAATTTGATGAAATAATATGTTACAATAATATTATTAGATATTATAATATATAATTCAATAAAATAAACCAACTCATTATATTGCTTACATTAGAAAAATAAGTTAAAATATTAAAACCCACAGTGATGGGCAGGGCTGTAGGAAACAGGTACACTCATACTACTGGTAGCAGCATAAATTGATCAAATGTTTCTGTAGAACATAGGTTCTTAACTGCTTTTTGTGTCATGGATACCTTGGCTGGCTGACAGAGCCTATGAACCTGTTCTCACAATAATGTTTTTAAATGCATTAGAATAAAATACCCAGGATTCCAAAGGAAACCAATTACTGAAATTATTAAAATAACAACAATCACCAAGTTCATGGACCTAGGTTAAAATTCCTGCTGGAGAGTGATCTAGCAAGTGGTAGAAAAATCTATGAATTGGTCATATTCTTTGACCCAGTAATCTCAATACTGTGTATATATCCCAGGGAAATTAGCCAAAAGAAAAAGGGCCTATTTGTTCAAAGGTGTTTATAGTAGTGCTATTTATAGGACCAAAACCTGGAAATGTCCCAGATGCCCAACAGTGACAAAATGACTGAACAGACTGGTCACTGCAATAATGCACTTACTAACCCACCATTGAGAATGACAAATAGGATGATCATACTGACGTATGGAAAGGTCTGTGTGGAATAATGCAAAGTGAGCAGAGGAGAACAAAGAACTCTATGAACACACTGACTGCAACCATATAAAAATGCCATTAACTAAGAAGACATTATGGAGTTAGGTAAGAGTTGCTATTGATATTTGAAAGTATGTTTATTTTTTCATTTTAAAGGTCACTAAGTGCAAAAAATCATTTAAAATATTGGAAGCAGAGAAGAGAGAAAACTTTAAAACAAAGGTCAGATCATGAAAACATATTCAAAATAGGAGTAACAAAAAGCGAGAGAGACATAAAAGCTGAGAGAGAGAATTAACAAGCTATTACAAAGCCTCTTCCATGTGCCAGGCACTGTGCCAAGCCCTCGGGATATAATTTTAAGCACAAGAAATTCCAGCATCTACCCTCAAGGACCTTACTGTCTAGTGAGAGGAGATAACAAGGGAGCTGAAGTAGGGGGTGGGAGATGGGGAAGGGGAGGTGGATGGGAACGAAGGGGGAATAGTTGCAAAGTCAGGAGAGTGAAGCTTATCTGGTCTGGTCCCTTCACCAACATGGAAGTTCCTAGAGGAACTCACCAATGGGAAAGGGCGGCCAGAGAATAGAGGGAAAAGGCAGCCGAAGCAGGGTGGCTGCAAAAGGGAAAGATCAGGTAACACGACTCTGAAACAAGCAGAACACCTGAAACATCATTGCAAGTGAGAAGATTGACCTTTGTAACTCCAGATGACCTACAACAGGAGCTGAAAATCAGCCCAGGCCTTTGTTTTAGGAATTCAACACTGGAAAACACTCAACACTAGCAACTGGTAGGTAAGGGGTCCTGACAGGGCAGCCTCACTCTAAAATCAGTAACATTTGCTTTGCATCAAGTAGGTACTTAATGATGGTTTATTGTAGGAATGTTTAGTATATTAACTTAGGGGCATAGATCTGCCAGAAAGGAAAGACTAAACGGATGAAGAATATTTATTGTCTAGTTTTCAACACGGATTGGAATAGACACTCTACAGAGCTTGTCCATTGGTATGGGTAAATATGTAAGACAGACAATACAATAAGAGGGACCCAGAAATGGAAAAAAAATAAAAAAAGGAATTGAGTGGGCTGGATTACTTTTATGAAACTGGCTTCTCATGACAGCTAAGGTCCATATTATTAATAGAAACACTTTATTGGTGTCATTGTATAGCTTGTGTTGTGTTTGTCCTCCATTTTCGTAGAGGACCATGACATCAGGGAGATGGTGATGTGATTTTGCAATTGACTTTGATTTGAATAAGGGAGGGCTGTGCAAAGTCACCAGCCTCACTGTCTCCTCCAGAGCCATCTGGGTCCAGTGGCCAGATATTCATTAGGACGACTGAAGATAGCAGTGAGAAATGGAATGCCACTGCTTCAGAAAAATTAAAGATATTCATTACACAAAAAGAAATGGAAAAGCACATGGTTAAGTAAGGGCCAGCTGCATAATATAAAAAATGAGGAAGTCTGAAGAAGAATAAAAATGAAGGATGTCATCAAAGAGCTGTATGACAGAAAGAAAAGATGAACTGGTTACCTAGTGAGTGGGAGCGATGAGAAGTGGGAAGCCAGAGTGATCCACTACCCTCACAATGTCAGAAGAAATTAAGGAAGAGCTCCAGCACATTGGCTGGGCCCCCCGCAGTAGATTTTTGGGAGAACATGGAAGAGTCACACAAAGTAGTCAAGGCAAAATGGGTCGTCATCTGAATATTGTAAAAACCTCATGAATCAGTGAGGTCATGGATCCATTTTGATTATTTGCATATAGATTTTGTGTTCAAAGAGATCTTTAAGATAGTCTAGCTTGGAACCCAATCATTTTACGGATGAGGAAACTGAGGTCCAAACAGAACAACCTTTGACAAAGATTATACAGCTAAATAGAGCAGCACACAGGAACAGAAATGTTATCTCTGTATGGAGTGCAGTGGCATAAAGGGACTGATTTCCATAGGGTGGTTAAAATTACCAACTCTGAGCCACAAATGAGGCTGTGACTCAGCATTGGCCTCAGGCAAAATTGTGAATTCCAGACATATGAGACAATCTATGCACAGGCATGGATAGTCATACAAGAGTAACAAGTAACAAGCCAGTTTGATTAGAACAGACTAGAAACGTAGGTGGGAGCCATATTGTGGAGGGCTTTGAATGACAAGCTGAAGATTATGTGGTTTATCCTGAAGGCAATAGAAAGTCACTGAAGATTTTTTTGAGTAGAGGAATGACATAGGCAGATTTCTGTTTTAGAAAGGCTAATTTGACCGCTGTGAAGGATGGAATGGAGATGAGAGAGACTGAGAGCATGGAGGCCAGTTAGGAGGCTATTACAACAGTCCAAACAAGAGGTGAGAAGGGCTTGACATAGGGTGGTGGGAATGAATGCAAGAGAGAAGGTGAAAGCAGTCAATAAGGTATGATAACTGGTTGAATATAAATGATCAAGAAGAAGCATGAATCAAGGATGCCTCTAGGGTTGTTAATCTGGGGTGATTTGAAAAATTGTGGTGCTTTCCAAAGAAAAAGAGAAGTCTGGAAGAGGGGTGGGTTTGGATGAAAATAGAACAGGAGTTCTTAATCTTCTTCGTGTCATGGACCCCTTCTCAGAATAGTGTTTTTAAATGCATAAAATAAAATACGTAGGATTACAAAAGAAACCAATTAGATTGAAATGCAGTTATTAAAAAAGAAACATTTTTAAGTTCACCAACTGCCAGTTAAGAACCCTTGAAACAGAATGAACTCCATTTTGGGATATGCTGAGTTCGAGATTGCTTACAAAGTCATCCAGGCAAAGATGTTCAGTGGCAGCTGGTCATGTGAGACGATGGAGTTCAGGACAGTTCATCCTCTTGCCATGCTTTCCAGCCTTTACTTCACCCTTAATTTTAAGAAGAATTTATAAGATGAGAAAGCTTTAAGAAGTTTTTTTATGGTCTTTTAAAAAACATTTTAACTTATTAAAGGAATAGGGGGAGAGGTACTGGAGTAAAGTCAGTAGAGGGACAATCTTGGAGTAAGCAAGGCTTTGAGTTCAAGTCCAGTGTCTGACAGCCCTAGTTCTAAGAAGTTAGATAATTTAAAAAAAGCTTTAAGAAGCTTTGTTTATGGTCTTTTAGAAGACTTTTTGATTTATTAGAGAATAAAAAGAGAAGTAGTGGAGAGAAAAAGGGACAATCTTGGAGTTGGAAATATTTGAGTTCTGATTTCAAGAAAAGAAAAGTTTATTTTTAATGAGGCTTTGCAATGTATGCATATTTGCCTCTGACATATTACAGTATTATTATTTGCAAATCACTTAACCTCTTGGGAGTTCCTGAGGAAAATCTCTAAAACAAAAGAGAAAGTTGTTTTCAAATGGACCCTGAAATGAAATTATTGGTTGGGACAACCCACCCCCCCCAAATTAGAATGAGTTAGTTTATTAATGCCATTCTAATAACAAAACCAATAATAGCTCTCATTTATATAGTAGTTTCCAATGTAACAACTAGGTGAGCGCAGGTTTGGATGGAAGGAATTGTCTAGAGGGCATAAAGGCACTGGGTCCCTAGGGAACTGAAAAATACAGTGCCTTTATTTTCCAAGTTGAAGTATGGGAAACACAGACCATCCTGTTTGCCTTGTTGCCACAGCTGAGCAGCGGCCTTTTATAGTTGCTACTGAAGGAATTAAAATAGCAAATGGTAGTGGGAATTGAGTGAACCACACTGACTCCATCTTGTGACTCAATTCTGGAGCTAGCTCAGTTCCCTTTCTATTCCATTATGGGTCTAGCCCAATTTCTATCTGGTGAAAACACTCTATTCAATTGTGGGAAAAAAGAAAGTTCTATTGCATTGCATGGCTGGGAAGCTGGACCATTTCTTGCTGCCACTTCAAGACCTTTAACTAAGAACCTAGGTTATGTTGACCGGAAATCCAATCAGATCCAAAGGTTGATACAAGGAGTTTTCTCACAATTATACATCTCAAGTAACCCATATGTCTGATCTGAAAACTAGCCCTGTACTGGTCAATCAGTTATTGTTTCCATGTTCCTTTGATTGTTTATAGATACTTGTGGGAAGTGGGGCACCTCTTTTTCTGATTTCAGGGAACTGCACCTATTAGCTCTCCCCCTCCCAACTTGGAAAGTCCCTAGAATCTTTCCTCCAATAAGAAATCAGATTACCTAATTTTGTATCCTGATTAATTGTTTTCTTTTCATTTATTGGTCTTATTTGACTAATTGTTTTTGATGCAAAAAAATCTGTCCATCCCCCCTGTATTTGGGGTCCAGTGCCAAAACTGAGGTCTGTTCCCCGTTTGTTGTGCAATTAGCATCCATTGCTTAATAAATCACTATGTTTGGATGTTTGAACCTTTGTTTCCTCATTCATTTCATCTTTTGTCTATCACACTATGGTGACCCTACGTTCTAAATTTTCTAGGACAGTTCTGATTTCAAGAAAAGAAAGTTTATTTTTAATAAGGCTTTGCAAAAAGAATAACCTGCCAGATCATGTGTCCTAGTTTAGGTTTGAAAAATATGTTCGCTATAATATTAGGACATAGAGCATGGTATTCACAGGTTTTATGACTAGAAATGTCATAGCCAATGATAATAGGCTCATATTTTTAGTGTTTTAAGATTTACAAGGAACCCTATAAGGCAGGCAGTGAAAGGATTAGTATTTCTGTTTTACAGATGAGGACACTAAGGCTCTGAGTAGTAAAATGACTTGTCCAGAGTCAGGTTTACTGATTCCAAGCTCCTTATACTTTCCATTATACATTGTAGTTTCTCATTGTCACTACATCTTCCAACCATCCCAAGGTATAAATACCACACTCATATTTATCAAGTAGCTCATAGGTTTTAAAGTTGGAAAAGACTTCAAAAATTATCTGGTCCAATTCCCTCATTTTACAGGAGAAGAAATTGAGGCCCATAGGAAATAAGTTATATAGGAAATAAATAGCATACCTTGGATTTGAACCCAAATTCTCTGACCCTAAGTCTATTTCTCATTCTACCATAATGCACTGCCCCACTAAGAGCTAGGTACATATGGGCCAGTAGGTGAGCAATTTCATGTCTTTACAAAATGCTTTACATATATTATCATTATCTTATTTCACTCCCACAGCAGCCATACAAGGTAGGTAATACAAGAGGTTGTTTTTTTTTTTTTTATCCCCAGGTTAAATGGCTAGTAAGTGGTGGGGCTAGTACTCAATCTCAATTCTTCTGACTCCAAAATTAGCATAGTTTACATCTCTCAATTACAAACATGTGTCAACTGAGCTTCAGACCCTAGTACAGCGTACCTGGGTATAATTTGAGGGAGATATTTCACAAAATCTCTCTGGCTCATATCCTAATTGAGGGAAACCCTAGGAACATTAGTATCTGGCTTGTTTTGTTCTTCCCTAAAGAAGTTCAGCCCCACTTCAAACATTCAGGTTAGTAAGACTCTGAATATAGGTCTGGTTTTATTGAACTCAACCAAAAAAAAAAAAGCAGCAACAAACCACAGAATGGAATTATATCCATGGGAAGTCAGGAAAACTCTAATTTCTGAGAGGTCTCAAGCAACTGTCCTCTCTTTTGCATCCCACGTTCCATCACTATCTACACAGTCAACATGACTCACAATACCAGCAAAGTAATAGGAGGTCCAGGTTGCCCCTTGGTGAACGTGGTTCACTGCTGCACCATCCCCTCTGGCATTAGTGAGAACAAAGTCTTCAGGTTTGCTTCATCCAGGAATGACTTTGCTCACCATTTCTATCTTCCATGCTTGTGCAGACTTCTCCCTAGGTATCTCTACTCAGCTCTGAATGCTTCCTCTTTTCTTTTAAGAACAAGCCTGACGTCCAGCTCAGGTATATGACCTCTATCAATCTTGATATGTGAACTCAGGCTGCAATTTTGAAGCTGTACACTTGGGCCAGTACCTTACTAAAGGTCAGTGAGTTAAAGAAGACCCCAAGAGCGTTACACTGTATCCAGTGAGTAGAAGGGGGTAGGTCTCACCTTATGCTTCTTGGCATCTGGCCCTAATCCATGCCAAACAATATTGTGTGATGTGTATAAAAATGCTTTGGACTCAGAGATCATTTAGACTTGATTTGTTAAATTAATATTCATGGAAAATATTTTGGGCCCTTTCAATGGTTTACTGAGATAACAGGATAGACCATTTAAAATCAGATCTATCCTTGAAAATCTAGGATATATAGTTTGCATCTCCCTCTTCAGTTCATTTAACAGATGAGGAAAACTGGGGCAAAGGGGTAAGTGACTTGCCCGGGGTCACACAGCCAGTAAATATATCTGAGGCTAGATTTGACTTCAGGAAAAGTAGTCTTCCTGACTCCAGGGTGAAGGGAGAGTACACTAGGAAAAATTTCATCAACGTAACAATTATGCTGAAGTCTTGCCCTATACTAGGGTCAGGCTGCTACTTCAAACTAGGTTTGGTAGTTTTCAGGATAGTCGATAAGGCAGAGTTTCATGGAGTCAGGAAAAGCCATAGCCTGATGTGAAAACAAGTCTCCTTTAGAAATCTCCAGAAGAAATATTATATAGTGGAGAAGTTCACCTTGGAGCCAGAAAAACCTCAGGTCAAGTCCCAACTCTGACACCTACTGACTGTGTGATGTTGAATTAAGTCACTAAACCTCTCCGTGTTCTAGACAACTCTCTAAAACTTTAGATTGTAGAGGAATTATAAGTTATCTACACTGGAGAGAGAATATCCTCACCTAATAGCCAATGAAATCACAGTTTCAGTTCCTGTTCCTGTCCCTATTCACTCTGGAATGAGTTGTTCACTCATAGCCCAGATCACTAAACTCCATTTACTAAAGTTAATGGTTATTGGTTTGGGTGGGGATGAATAATGACTCCTCTCCCCTTCTGTACTGTTGCTTCTATTGTCTTTTAAGTTTTTTCCAACTTGTTCCTCTGCTCTCTACCAGTCCCTTCCCCACTAAGTTCATCAGCATTCTTAGCCAATTAGGAGTCTGACTCAACCCTCCCCTACATTCTGCATATCCAAGAAGTGCTTCCGTTTGTTTGTTTGTTCTGAGGTTTGGTGTTTTATGGACTATATCTGTGATTTCATGAAGGTGGGGAGCGCTCCAGTTCTTCCTCCACATAGCTTCCAGATTCGATTAATACTCCTAAAATGGAGGTCTAACAGCATCTCTCTTCTGCTGAAGATGCTGCAGTAGCAAGAACCAGGGAGATGATAACCCACCTGGACTCTTCCCTAGTCTGCCCCCTTCTGGAGTTTGTATTCAGTTCTGGGTAACACGTTTTAGCTGGGACAATGACAAGCTGGAGTGTGTTCAGAGGAAGGTGACTGAGTTAGTGAGGAGGCTGGAGAACATTCCTGCCATTTTTGTTGTTCAGTTGTATCCAACTTTTAGTGACCGCATTTGGGGTTTTCTTGGCAAAGATACTGGAGTGTCTACTTCCTTCTCCAGCTCATTTTACAGATGAGGAAACTGAGGCAAACAAAGTTAAGTGATTTGCCCAGGGCCACACAGCTAGTAAGTATCTGAGGGCAGATCTTAACTCAGGAAGATGAGTCTTCCTAACTTCAGGTCCAGCACTGTATCCTGTACCACCTAGATGCCCGTACAAAGATTAATTGAAGGATTGAGGATGTTTGGCATAAAGAAGAGACAACTTAGATTGCAGCTTTATATGCCAAAAAAAAAACTCCAATAAATTCTTTACACTTAAGGAGCTACCTCAGGAGGGAAAGAGTTTCTCATCACTGGAGAGCTTCAAGAAGAGACCTACATTTAACCCTGCAAAGTCAGCTGCATGATAGGAAATAGATAAACTTAAGGTGGCAAATCCACTCTGCTCTAATAATTTTA